AGATGCAGGCGAAACATCAGGAGAGAATGCTTCTGGAACATGGTCATACAGCCTGAAAAACTTATAGCAACCCAGTGATTTCAGCCATGAAAGCCTTCAACAACACATTAAATAGAGTGTTATGGCAGCAGTAGTGCAAAACTCTTTAGTTTGTAGTGGATAAACTCATATGAATATTTCATACCAGAAACATCTGAGAAGCTCATGGAGATCCTGGTAAATCTAATTGTCGAAATCTATAGGCCCCACCTCATCAGTCTTCCCTTTTCCCCATATTTTTGCACTGAAAGCCTAAGGAATGGCCCATATCAAGCCATTTCTCAGGTTATGTGAATTGCAGACTCACTTTCCGAACTGTAGGTAGTTTTGGGGTGTGTCTTTATTAGATGTCTTGGGTCCCATCCAGGCAGAAAAGCAAGATATTAAATGATTTTTTAAGGAAGTGCAAATTTGAATATATTAAATCAACTCTGCTCCTGGGAATTTAAAATGTCTGTTCATGTCTAGAGATCTAAAATCCTTACTTTCTTGCTCTTTTTATAATTCAACTTGGAATTGCTGCAAATTTTAAAATGCCAAAAGTAATTTTATGAAATGCCGGTTTGCTTTCTTAAGAAATGAAACAGAAGGTGTTGGTCATTCTTACAAATTTTAATCTGGAATATCATATCCACTGGTGTTTCATATTCTTGGGGGTATTACATTGGACACTTGTATATTCTTGAATTTCAGGTTGCTTCTGAGTTAAAAGAGGAGCTAATGAAAATTCTGTTTTTTTAGGTGGCAATCCTTGTTCCATTCCGTAATCGTTATGAGCATCTGCCAGTCCTCTTTAGACACCTTATTCCAATGTTACAGCACCAACGTTTACAATTTGCATTTTATATAATTGAACAAGTAAGTGAGTTCATTTTTCTTTCACAGAACAGGTTCTTAACAATGGAATTAACCACCAGAACAGATTTGTAATGCTATTCTTTCCCAGAAATGTTTTGTAAGAGAGACTGTTAACTGCATTCTGCACAGGTTATTGAACAGTACTATTAAATTCTCAGAATATGCTCAGCATGTAGCTGCAGTTAATAGTTGCCAAATTGCATACCAATTGAGACTTCCAAAGCCGATACCTAGACAGTGTCCTCTTCCTGTAACTGGCATGTGGAATTCCAAATCATGTAGGAGATGATAGTTAATATTTCAGTACATCCTTTAATCAATCCAATACATTTTGCGTGGCAGGGGACAGCTAGTTCTTTATAGTTCTCATTCTTAGGGTAATCCATTAAAATCACGAGGTGAACACAGGTTCAGAAAATCCCCTTTCAGTATCTGTTTGCGCATCCATAATATCATATGGAAGCACACAATTGTGCAAGACCTGTAATGCTTATAGCCTCCGGGCTGCAAAAAGTGACCAGGCTACAAACCCAAACTGGTTGGCCTATATAGTGTTGGGCAGATGGGATCTTGGAGAGGCCTAACCTGTTCAAGCAGTGTTTCAAGTAAAACATAATTACTTTAAATTTAGATAGCCCTCCATCCTCTGTCTACCTTTGTCTACGTCTTTACTTTTGGTTGAGAAATAATTTTTCTTCAGTTTTTTCCCCCCTGAAATACTAAGCACCTACTTGGAGAAACATATCAGCACTTTACATATCCAAAGGTGCAGAACCGTTTCTTTAAACAATGTATATTTTCTTTGAAGTGGATGCAACCACTCATCCAGCATTAATGTGCTGAGTTTGCCCACGGCATTCCTTCAGTGATTACAGGTACAAATCTTCACAACCATGTACTATCTAAAACTTTTTAGATATATAGTATATGTTATCTCACTTACTATTGGTCTTCCCTCAAACGTTTCGATCATAGCTTAATACTAGGCCTTATTTGTAAGCTGTAAGATCATTACATTTAATCTTGGACTGATTTTGAGATCCCTTTTTTCCTGAGTTCAGTCCTCTTAAAATAGACTATACTAGGCAAGATGGACTGATGAGGTGACTGTGTGTACATCTACACTGTAGAAGTAGTGCAGTTTGACACTACCTTAACTGCTATAGTGCAATACTATGGAATTTTGGGATTTGTGGTTTAGTGAGGCAGAAGCACTCTTACAGAGAAAGCTAAAGACCTTGTAAAACTCCTATGATTCCATAGTATAGAGTCATAGCAATTAAAGTGGTGTCAAACTGTATTAATTCTACAGTGTATGTCTAGTCTGGAAGTGAAAAATGTAACTTTGGATGGGATACTCTTTTCACATGATGCAAAACTGCATTTCTCAATTGTGGTCTATTTGCAACAAATCTTCTTGGATCACTTAATTTTATTATGCTAAACTGATAGGACCAGTACCTTATAGCCATATAATCAATAATTATTTGATAAAGTATTAGTACTCAACAACAAGTTTGATTCTGACATTTCTGTAGCCTTTTCATTTTTAGTAGCTAGGTTTTGAGGTTATTGTAGAAGCCATCAATCATGCTAACTGATCTATTTGGTCTGTTGAAAAAGAGAGAAAAATTCCAGTATATGTATATGTTTTCAGGTTGCCAATTAAATTATGATAGCCCCCTAAATTTAATTGGGTTTTCTTAGACAAGGAATACTCCAATGGTTTTGTCAGCTTCAAAAAATATCCTACAGCACTGAGTATATGTTGGAAATCTCCCATCCATATACTTACCAGAACTGAACCTGCTTAGCTTCCTAGATCAGATGGGATCTGATGTTTTGGGTATTTAATCTGTTAAAAAGAGGAGTTTAATTTGGGAAAAGTTTTTTAAACTTTGAAAAACTAACCATAATATAAAGTGAAGGCAGCATATGCATACTCATCCATTCCAGATACCTGAAGTCAACATGAAATGCCTTAAAGATAGATTACTTTATAAACAATTTTGAATGTAAGTTTTATATAATTTTCTTGCAGGCTGGTAACCAACCTTTTAACCGTGCCATGCTCTTCAATGTTGGCTTTCGGGAAGCAATGAAGGACCTGGACTGGGATTGTCTGATTTTTCATGATGTGGACCATATACCTGAAAATGACCGTAACTATTACGGATGTGGGCTGATGCCAAGACATTTTGCAGCAAAGCTGGATAAATATATGTATCTGTAAGTAACTGCACTCCTCTATTCATGACATTAAGACATCTTTTTAAAAACTACATAGAGAAATAGAGGCAGACATTGTTGAACCTAAAGATTGGAAAACTATTTTTAACAGGTGATGCCAACAAAAATGCACTTGGCCTATTCTATATTTGTTCAACACAAACTTACATAAATCTCTCCTTTCTTTCTTTCTTTCTTTCTTTCTTTCTTTCTTTCTTCATATTATAGCCTTCCTTACAACGAGTTCTTTGGAGGAGTAAGTGGCTTAACAGTTGAACAATTCAAAAAAATCAATGGTTTTCCAAATGCCTTCTGGGGCTGGGGCGGAGAGGATGATGACCTTTGGAACAGGTAATGTGTATACCAGGATATGTACAGATGGATTACATGCAAGTAACAACTTGTATGATTTTTTCATACATTTCTCAAATTACTGTAAAAGCAGATGGACAGTCTTTGTATTCTGATATAAAAATGTGGCAGGATGCTTTTCAGTTAAATATTTGCAGGCTAGGGACATATCTTACTTGGGTGCATCATACACACCCATTTTGGCAAGTGAAGCTACTGGAATGCTCTTTGTGGTTCCTTGTGTTATTTGGCCATGTGCCTATAGCTGCCAACATTGCACAGTAACACTGATAACATAAAAGCTTTAGAGGCTTATCTAGAACATTGCTTTATTCCTGCAATCACCAAGCAGAAGCCTGTTGGAAGTCCACTGGTAGCATAGGGTTAGGGTTAGGTGACCATCAGTACATCTTGGGTTGTTGATTTAATAGAATTAACTATATGTTGTGTTTGTTTTGAACCCCCCAGCATTCAGCTTCAGTGGATTCTGAAAATAGGTTATTGTATTCCTAAAGGAAATAAAATAGTCTCCTCAGTCATTCCTCTCTACACCATCCAAATTTTATGCATCCGTAGCATGAACCAGCATAGTGCAGAGATTGGATTGCTATATTAAGCATTTTGGCAGACCAAGATTCAAGTTTCTGCTCAGCTATGAAAACCCACTGAGTGACCTTAGGCAAGTCACACTCCCTTAATTGTAGAGAAGGCAGTTGCAAGCCTCCTCAGAATAATCCTGCCAAGAAAAATAGAGTGTTGTCATAAGTGGGAGTAAGCTTGAAGACACATGTCAGCGAATTATGTTTGACCATTATTTGCCTTTTTTCTATGCTAAACAGCCCCAAACTTTGTAATACTTGCTCACATAGGAGTTTCTGTGGTCCTTGATTAATTTGTGCTGTCCCTTTCTGTCCTTTTCCAGTTCATACGATATTCTTTTTTGAACACTTAGCTCTACATGACCTCTAAGGAAGAATTTCCATAAACTATGACACAGTCCTAACCTGCTTCCTCTCCATATTCTCTCAACCATCTTGATTGACATTTAGAAGAGAATTTGTTTCCTGGGGAGAGGTTTTGTTTTTCTTCAAAGTATGTTGTTCTGGAAATTCCAAGTTAAAGAGCAATCACATTAGTTATAGCTCAGGACAAGGTTGAGAAATTCTGTGTCCCAGGTCTTAATGTATGTTAGTTTTTTAGATATTCAATTTCCTTATTGAAAAACATGTGATCTGTAGAAAGCTGCATATCCTGCTTCAAAATGAAAATGATTTTAATCCAGCAATTTATTTGAAATATGTTGAAAGGTGCTTGCTTATAAAACATATTGAAGTGGTTGTGGCTCAGATTGTACAGACCTGGTGAATGTCAAAACCAAAGGAACTGAAATATTGTTCTTTCTCCTTCTCTTAGGGTGCACTATGCAGGTTACTTGGTGACTCGGCCCGAAGGAGATACTGGGAAATACAAGTCAATTCCTCATCACCATAGAGGTGAAGTGCAGTTCTTAGGAAGGCAAGTGAACTTTTCAATCATGAATAGCTTGAAAATGCAGACTTCATACATAGGCATTCATTGCTAGCAGCTCTGATCCATACATTGAAAGTCTTCCCACCTGGAAAAAAAATCAGGATGGAGTTAAAGGCATTATGAAAAGCTTCCTAGTTAGTGTCTTTAACCATTCCCACAATGGGAAATCAGATATATAAAGTAGGAAATTGTGTTGACTGCTTCAAACTCTACTAGTTCTTCTTCTCTGGAGGTTTTTAAGCAGAGACTGGAATGGCCATCTGCAGGGAGTGCTTTGATTGTATTGTCCTATATGGCTGAAGGTTGGATTGTATGGCCTTTGTGATCTTTTCCAACTGTATGATTTTAGTCCAAATAGACAAATGGGTGGGCTGCCAGCTTTCTTATTGCTCCAGCCATCCTTGTCTCCTGACAAACCCTTGCCCAGATCTTCAGACTTTGCCAAATCTTTAGGTGTTTCAAATGATTAAGTGCCAATTGGCAAAACTACTATAGACTAGAGTTCCAAGTTCTTGTTCAAAATCCTGCAGGTTTTCAGCAAATTGTGTGTCCAGGAACACCATTCCCAAAAGTAGTGTTCAAAAGAATGCTGTAGTCCATTGGCTCTCAACCTGTGGATCCACAGATGTTTTGGCCTTCAACTCCCAGAAATCCTAACAGCTGATAAACTGGCTGGGATTTCTGGGAGTTGTAGGCCCAAACACCTGGGGACCCACAGATTGAGAACCACTGCCTATGTAACTTCTGGCTAGAGAGAATTTGCATGCATCTTACCTTCCACGGCTTGTTAGAAAATATATATTCCATTATATTGAACCACAAATGCATCATGTGGAGCTGGGGGAGAAGATAACCGTAGATTGTGTTTAGAGTAAATGGCATTATTTTCTCTCCTCTTCAAGATCTCTCATCCATTTCAAAGGCAATTGTGCATACCTTGCAAAATGGAATGTAATAGGATCCTCAGTACTGCGTATTAAAGTGACCTCTGTTCTTGTTAGATACCACTTACAGTTGTAAAAGTACATGACTATCTACAAGCCGTGGAATGTAGTGAAATCTGCAGAATATTCTTTGTGTAAAGACAATTTGTGTTCAATATGTCTTAGTTTGTGGAGGTTATTTTGTGTATTTTTAAACATTGCTGAATGAGAGATTTAAACCACCTTAATTATTTTCACTGTTGAAAACCATGAAACAAGGTGTGGTGAAGAAACAAATACATTTCACATGAAATCATAATAAAATATAAACAAATCTAAGCTTTGCTCTCATTGTCACAGTCTTAAACTCAGGAAGTCTTGAAAATATGGCACTAATACTATTTTTCTTAGATTTTTGAAATCCCCCTTGGATTTCAGTTTCAGAGCTGTTCAGTAGATTACACTTTAGGTTTCTTCGATGTTTCTGTAGTTGAAAGTGGCCAAAGTCTTTAGTTCTCAATGAAAAAGTAAAATAATACACATCTTTCTTAAATCTAGTGATTGAAAACTTATTGGCAACAGTTTGTATATTTGCCTTAGTGTTATTTTGGTGTATTTCCATTGTTTTTTTATTTGGGTTGCTTCTCTTTCACGGAGCATAGAACCAGGGGCATACCAGTAAACATACCATTTATTTTATTTGAGGAAGGTTTGTTTAGTTTTATTGCCTTAAAATGCTATCGTATATCTAGTATTCTAATTGAAAGCCACTGAACTAATAAAATTTTAACCATGAGACTGGGATTTTTTTTAAATGCTTAGAATGAATGTAATTTTAACTTAATTGCTCGAGGTTCTAAATTTATGGGAGAGCTTTTTTTTTTTACCAATCACCATCACATGGCTGTTTTGCACCTAACCTTTGGATGACTTATCAAGTTTTTGGCAGCTGTTGTAATTACAAAATAATCACAATTGCTGTTAAACATAAATGATTCCAAAGAAGTTACTGTGATATTTTTAGAAGCATATTTTTATGCAGATGTAGCACATCAGGTTTGTGGAATTGGTGCACAGACAGGTGTAGAATAAAAATTAAAGGACGAGGTTGCCTCTGAACATATTCTTAGCATAGGAATAGACTATCAGTACCAGAATTGATTTCATAGGTGCTTAAAGCATGCATGATTATCTGTTCATGTATGTAATAACACATGGATATACATCTTGATTTCTCCTAATATTCTCTGAATCACACATACATCTATGATTTCTCTGTGAATTACACAATTGGTTAATCTGTGCAGGTGCAGAGCACTGTTCAGAACTTTTTAAAATCATGAGGCAGAAAATTTTGTCATTAACCCCGCCCACCATTCCAACGCTATATAAGGCCTGGTTGCCACCAAAATCCCTCAGTTCCTTTCATCCACGCTGTAGCCGGTTCAGGAACCTTCACTATTCAAGCTTGTTAGTTCTTCAGACTTTGCCTATTCTTCTATTTTTGGACTTCTTTTTAGTTTCTAACGAGAGTTTCTTTAATTCCAACCTTGTGCTTTGAAGGCTCCCGCTTTTGAGTCATTTTGTTCTGTGAGTACGGTGTTTGCGACCTAGTCCAGTATGGCCTCCATGACTTGCTTCAAGCAGTGTGAGCAGTGTTTGGGTAAACTTCCTGACACAGATGGGTATTCAAAGTGCCTTCTTTGCTTAGGCGAAGGACATTCTGTCTACTCCTACATTCATTGCAAGGCCTGTAAGCCTCAAGCAAGGAAGAATCGAGAGATGAGGCTTTGTTCCTCTCTGTACCAACAGGCCCTCTCATCTTCTTCCTCAGCTTTGTTCAAACTGGGTCAAAGCAGTCAGATGTGGGCCCCCCAATATCAGTCCCTGCATCAACTTTGGGGAAACCTGTTCCTCCTTCAATGTCTTCAATGAAGGCTGCCATGAAACATTAGGTAGAGCAAGCAACTGCTTCTCATTCAAAGAAGGTGAAATCCAAGGAGCCCACTTCATTTCCAGAGAAACCCTCGGCACAAAGAGAGGGGAGAGGCATCCTTTTTATTAGAGGAAGACAGACTTATCTATTCTGTTGAAAGGGATGGGAAGGAATAGATACTGTGGTGTAAAACTGTTCCGCTATGGGTTTGCCAGTAGTTCCATGAAGCTGTGAATGTGATATTTATATTTCATACCTGTGATGTGTCCCATTTTTGCCTACTCTGCTGGTTTCCCTTTTTCTTGGCACAACATCTATGTTAGTGAGATTTACAGGGGCCTATTAGAGCAGTTACATTCAATTGGCAGAGCTCCATTTCCTCCAGAGAGATGACATAATCCCCAGGATAGGAATAAATCCTAAATTGCTTCGATAGAATCAAAGAAGAATAATAGAATTGGACAAGACCACAAGGGCCACTCTGTCCAGCACTCTCAGCAGATAGGCATACAATCTTGATTAAAATCCTCCAAAGAAGGAGACTCCACCACACTTCAAAGCAGTGTATTTTACTGATGACATTGACTATAATAGTTTCTTTATACATCAAATGGTAAGGCTGACTGTAAAACAAGTTATTTGAACAGGGAAAAAGAATAAGATGTGTGGAAGATATCAAATCCAATGACTTCCTATAGCAGTCTCCTGTTATGGAGAAGTATTATGAATCAGGTTTTATTCAACTTTAGATTTGGTTTGGTTTTTGGCATTGGATAGAGTGGATAGGGTTGCACACCCTGGTTTCCTCCCTTGCTGCCCTCCCTTCTCTCACTCGCTCTAGTCAAATGGCAGCACACACACCCATCTGCGGACCTTATTTTAGGTCTCATGGCCCATGGGTTGGGAACCACTGGTCTACATGGATGCCTGAGATAATGATACTTTTGCTTTCTGGTGGTTCAGTGTACATACATTTTGTTTCATGCAAAAAAAAAAAGCTATTAGAAATAGTGTGTATAAATTACCATCAGGTTATTTGTATAAAGTGTGTAAGAAGCATCAGTGAACTTCATGTTAAGACTTGAGTCCCTTCTCCAAGATGTATATGCAAATAACAGATACTCCAAAATCTGCAAATGAAATATGAAATTTGAAGCAGATCTATAGCCAAGGATGTCAGATAAAGGATATTCAACCTCTATGTCTTTATTTCAAGGAGGTGATGTTCTTAATACAAAACGCTTATACTCAGGATGTATATTCCTATTAACACAGGTATGTCCTTGAAGTGCCACCTTTAATATCTCCAACTTTTTCCCCCTTTCCTCCCACAAATAGGTATGCACTGCTGCGAAAGTCCAAAGAGAGGCAAGAACTGGATGGCCTCAATAATTTAAACTACTTTCCAAATATTACATATGACGCCTTGTATAAAAACATTACTGTCAACCTGACACCAGAGCTGGCTCTGGTAAACGAATACTAAGAATATGAGAAGAGGAAAACAGGTTCAAATATTGTTTTGTAAATGTCTGCTGGACAAGAAAAATCTTGTGTCTAATGAAGGATCACAGTATTTTGAAGAATAATACTCAAAAGCACGCACACAGATCGACGGACTATAGAGCCATTCAGACTGTGCAGCGAGCTCAGACTTCACTTGCTCTTTGATTTCTTTTTTAAAAGAAGGATGGTGTGACCTGCTGCTTCTGTCCCAGCATTTCATCTCCCTAAACAACACCAAACTGTGATCAAATGTGCCGTTCTGCTCATAAAACCAGTTTGGATGAAAAGGACCGTTTGGGCTTCTTGATGCTGGAAGTGTCCTGTAGGCAATGGCCCGAATGGGAGATGAACTGCTATTTAACAATGATATCATTCTCTACATTTGTGTTTGTATTGGTTTTTTAATTGACCTGCTTGAAGAAGAATATATATATATATACACAGACAACAAAAATCGCTTCTTAAAGAAGTGTTGGTGTAAATAAGCTGTATAAATTGCTTTCCTTTCTTTTTTTTAAAAAAATCTTTTACAATTCAAAACTGAAGTTGAAGGTTTACAACTTAAGATAACTCAAGCAAGCCTCTCACAGTCCAAGCACTTCAGTCCATCATGATGACACTCATGTCAGTAATTCTCTTCAGGGCTACTTGCCTAATTGTTACCAGGATCAGGACCCTGGCAGGTTGTAAAACTTAACAAATGGAAGCCATAGCAGTGCATTTGGGAGAAGTGGGACCCCCCCCTCCCCCCACCTTTAGGGAGTAGGAATTCCATTCACAAAAGAAATGACACTAATTTTGGTCACTTGAAAATGCATATAGCCTTTCTTATTCTCTTCCCATCACATTCTGCCAGACATCCCATAATGGTAATTAAACATCTAAGAGAATGCCTTCAACCTAGCTTTAGATTAATAAAGGACAGATTCTCTTAAAATATTATCCAAAAAGGATCCACTCAGACTTTTATTTTTCATGCTGTATGTTTCATCTAAGTTTGCAAATTATTCTGCTTGTCTTTGGAAAAATGCTACAGTGATTCCTGTAGCTTAACCGTTGGAATAGGGAAGGTTATAAATAGTATTTTGATATATTTATTGTGTAAATGAAAATGTACATTGAACTAATATAGGTTAAAATTATAGGTTGGAGCTCTTGGTTATGATTGTTAGCCAGAGAAAAGTTGCACAAGTTAGAGATACTGGGACAAATATATCCAGACTCCAAATCATAATTAAAAGAATGAAGGGCATTGAGATTAGCTAAAAGGAAAAAAAAAACTGAGTATAGGACAGAAGTGCTTGTTCCATATCCTCCATCCAGTTTCAGAGATCCAGCTCTTGTTTGAAACTGTCATCTTAGATGTGTGCCTTTTTTGTTCTGTTTTGTTTGTTTTTCCTGGTTTTAAACCAATCTGTTTATACAGTATGTACAAACTATATATTTTTTGCTAGAGCCCGTAACTCTGGTAAATGTCTGTTTGGATTGCTCTTTAAGATATATATATATATTTATAGACACAGATTGTGAGTACTTAATGTGAGAAGTACTTCAATTTCTTTTGCATTGTTGCCTTCAATTTCTGTAATTTGCATAGTTTACACGTAGTTTTCTGGGTTCTATGGATATATGACCTCCCATATACATCTGTCATGGGTGCGACTAGCCAGACCTATTTTCTTGTTTCTCAAAAGAGTAATCGAAGTGTGTGTGTGTGTGTGTATTGGTGTGCGTGCGTGTCTTATCAGCCCATATGAAAGAGCAGCAGATCTGCTCTTGAGAATGCTGGTAAGTATGCTTTAAAATACTTCATAAGGGAACCTTTCATGGCTGCTGCAGAGGTAAGGATTTGTGTCTTTTTTTGTTTCTTAATGGCACATATAGCAATAAATACTTTGATTTTTTTTGTTTTTTGTTTTCATACATGGATAACACACACGCTTTCTCATTCCGTCTTAACCCTGGAAAGCTGTTGCAAACCAGTGCTTTTTATTTAATGGTGCTTCAGATGTGGAATGTATTTCAAATTGTCTGAATTCACCATCTCATGTTCATATATCCAGACAGACATTGGGCTGTATGGCAGTTCAGATTCTCAGGCTTTCACAACAGGTGGCCATTCTTCTACTATGCTCAGTCTTCTTGAATGAGAAAAGGAATTACCTCTGCTCAGAAATGCACTTGCTAAAAGACTGATATGAAAGGGTCCGTTTCACTTCTTAATCAATGGCTTTTGGTTTATTTTGCTTTTTTTCCAATCACGTTCCTTTTCCCCCCTCTTGAAAAATAAGGAATATCTTTAAAATGTGCACTGTTAACTCTTATCAGCTAAGTCAAATAATGTATAGCAAATGTAACTGTTGAAAACATAACTGTCAAGCGCATGTGATGTTATGATGTTTTTTAAAAAATTCCTTTTAAAAGAACTGTACATTGGCAGCTGAAATTTCAACAAGGCCACTGCTCCCCATCTCCATCAGCACTGTCAGCTAACACTGCTAAGGGGCAGAACACTATGATAAAATGTGTATTTTTTGTATGAGCCATGTGGGTCTTTATTTGCTAAAACAGTTATTTTCAAATCGACTACTTTTTGTAAAAGCTCCTTCAGTGAGCTTACCAACTGAGCAACCACCGTGCATTTCCAAACGCCTACTGTCAGAGATAGCATTAAATCATATGTAACTTTTATTCTGTTGTTTTGAGCTTGCTCTTATGGTTTTCTATGAGGTGCCAGGAGTACATTTTTGCACTGAAATCTAGTGTTTTAAAACACACACAATTTTCAGCGAAGCAATCCTTTGTGTCATTACATTTATTTACCCATGTGTTTGTACATTTTTGTATTTGTTAATTTATGAATGATTTTTTTCAGTAAAAAAATACATATTCAAGAACCAGGAGACTGTGGTAATGTTTATTTATTTATGGGTGGAATATGTAAAGTCTATTAAAACAGGCCGGCAGGCAAGCCTTAAGTGTACAATTGGATTCAATGTACAGCTCGGTGAACAACAGCTGCTTTTAAAATGTTAATGGCCTTTTCCTATTTCACTCTCCACTCAAGTTATGTAAGGTAATGTTTGAACTTCAAATTTCAACTTTAGAAACAACTGCTACCTCCCACTTGTATTAATGTGTGCATTACATACATAATAAGAGATGTCACTTGGATAATGTTCATTACATTAGTGAATCATACACTGTTCTTTCACTTTTAAGTGAAAGGTTTAGATTCTTTGAGCTAACTATTTTATATATTTTAAATAAATGTCCCATATTAAAAGCCTCATCTTCCATACCAAGTTAAAAACCAGTGCCTGTTAAATAAAAAGGCTGCTGGTGGAAAAATAGCAAGGAGGAGGCTTCCATGTCCTCATTAAACATACTTATGATGCTAGCAGGACTGAGAAAGCCCTCCCTTGGAGATCCTAAAAGCTTGGGCTGGCTTGTATAGAAAAATATGGTATTTCAGACAATCTGGACCCAAGCTGTGTGGAGATTTAAAGATAATGACCAGCACTTTGAATTCTGTCCAGAAATGTATCAGCAGCCAAGTGGAATTGTTTTAGTATGAGAGTATCTTCCCTATAGCATTTTGGGCCTACTGAAGTTTCCAGTTTCTAGAGGCAGCCCATGTAGAGAGAGTTACAGTAAACGAAATGGAATATAATCAAAGCATGCATCACTGTAGCCAGATTTGACATCCCAACAAGCTGGAGGAGCTAACATACCTGTTTTAGGTGTACTGGCCACAGCTGAGGATCTGAGCATCAATGCTCACATCTGAGACTAGAAGCATGAGAACCTCCTTAGGAGTGTACCCACACCCAACACTAGCTAGATTTCTCTTCTCTGATCTGTCTTTTGATGGACCAGAAGCATCTCTGTTTTGACTGGACTAAGCTTGTTTGTCTTCTCACATTCAGTCTGACAACAAACACTCTTCACACCCAACTTCAAAATCCAAATAGTCACTCCTAGCAGTTTCATATAGATGAATAGCATGGGACAGAAAATTAAGCTATGAGAGATGCCACAGGTCAGAAGCCATGGGGTCTGATGAAAACTTCATCACTGCCACCCGTATTCACTTCTCCAGGAAGTACTGGAACCCACTGGAGGGCAGTACCCCTTAAGCACCTTTCCAGAAACGTGGCTCAGA